CGAGCATCGTCGAACCGAGCTTGGCGGGCGATTCCGAGATGGTGACGCCAGCATCCTGGAGGGCTTGGATCTTGGAGGTGGCGGTTCCCTTGCCGCCCGAGATGATAGCACCAGCGTGACCTGCGCGAGTAAGAGCAAACGTAGCATACGAAGAAATGAATCAATCGATCGAGCTGAGATCTGCACTGTCAAAATCACGCAGCAAACGCTGGGGGATCCCCGTACCCATCCTGCGGCCGGGAGGGGCGGTAAGGCCGGCAATGAAGGAGACGACGGGCTTCTTGGAGACGAGTGCGTTGTCCTTGATCCACTGAGCAGCGGCCTCCTCGTCGGAGCCTCCGATCTCACCGATGAGGATGATGCCCTCGGTCTGGGGGTCCTCGGCGAACAGCTTGAGCACGTCGACGAAGTTGGTGCCGTTGAAGGGGTCGCCACCAATACCGACACAGGTGGACTGACCAAGACCGACAGCGGTCGTCTGTCCGACAGCCTCGTAAGTCAGGGTACCAGACCTGGAAACGATACCTGCACACCCGCATATGGTGTGTGTGTGTGTGTGTGTGTGTGTGTGTGTGTGTGTGTGTGTGTGTGTGTGTGTAAAAACAAAACGTCACGCCGGCGTAAGTGAACTTGCAAGTTCCCGTTGCACTCGCGCCACGCGTCGAGAGGACACAAACAGCAACGTACCAATCTTGCCAGGGGTGTGGATGTGACCAGGCATGATACCGATCTTGCACTCGCCGGGCTTAATGATACCGGGGCAGTTGGGGCCGATGAGGCGGGTCTTGCAGCCAGGCGCCATGAGACGCTTCTTCACGCGCACCATGTCCTGGCGGTGTGCAAGATATGTTCGAGATGATTATGCCGTTTAGCCCGAGATGACTCCCACGAACTCATACCGCAAACAATGCGATTCAGACTTTGGGGGGGGGGGTATTCGCACCTGCTGGGGAATACCCTCAGTGATACAGACGGCAAGCGGAATCTCGGCGTCAATCGCCTCGATGATGGCCGCGGCAGCGAAGGGAGGGGGCACGTAAATCACAGTCGCATCGGCTCCGGTGTTTTCCTTGGCCTGAGCGGGGATGCGGCAACGAGATGC